AGGACCGCATCCTCAGCCACCTCGAAGCGGAACTCCTCGTCCCAGTAGGGCGCCACCGTTTTTCGACAGATGGGCGTGCGCTGAAAGGAGGGAGGGAGGGAGAGAGGGAAGGAGGGAGGGACAAAAGGGGAGAGAGGAGGCCTGAGTCTTCTCCCCCGGAGGTATATGTCGATAGGAGAAGGAGGGGGGGGAGGGGGAAAAGGACACGGCAGGCGATAGGAATCGAGCATATGCCAGATGTAGTCATTTTATTTTACCTAAAGCAGGATCAATTGAGGTTCATACAGAACCACCGCTGCCTCTACTTCCTCCCTCCCTCCCTGCCTCCCTGCCTTAGCGGCGAGGTCCATCCCCGGCTCCTCTTCCTGAGCCCTCCCCCTTTCTTCTCGCACTTACCTCCTCCTGCCCAGCGAAGTTTATGTAGATGCTGACATCGATAGGTTCTTCCGGCGTCAGGCAACCGGGGGGGCTGATATCACGTGCCTCCACAACCCGGACCTGAAAGATTGAGGGAGGGAAGGGTACAAAGGGGGGAGGAAAAAGCACGCGTTGTAATTTATGCGCCCTGATGCAAGCATGGAGATATAGGCGCGTCCTCATGCACTGATGATGGGAACGTGTGCTTGCATGAAATGAAAAGGAAGATAGGAAGCAGGCAGCAAATGGGCCGAGGGGGGGGGGCAGTGCCATTGACACAACGAAGCGTCCCTTTAACTACCTTCACCACGGACGGCATGTCTTCCAAGCATGTACCCAAAGTAGCTGGACGTGGTTTCCTTGCCCGTGTGGCGTTTTCCCCGGCTCTCTGTCGCAGAAGAAGGAAATGGAGGAGGGAGGTGGTTAGAGGCAAAGGGTGATACTCAGGAGGCGATATCATATTATTCCAGCATACCATGAAGTCATCCACCGATTCGCCCGTGCTCTGGGGGAACTGCACCCCCCAAAACATGATTGCGTGCGTGTATGGTAGCGGAGTGTCGCCATGGGAAGGCAGTGGGTTCCAGTTTTGTGTCTTTTCTTAAAAAATGGTTTTGGGGTCCCTGTGACCGCCGCGGGCGAGAAGCTGATCCGGTGCCGCTCTCTGTCTGTTTACCCTCACCCATCTTGCCGTCCTCCGCTGATTCATTCATGCACCCACCCACCCAACCGGTCCAATCCCGTGCACAGACGCATTCGAGAGCATGCCTGGGTTCTCCCTCCGCTCCCAGGACGCGTGGCGTAATCACCCCATGCTGGCTTCGGGCTTCAAACGACCCATCCCTAATTTCACCTTGGCCTGCGGGATTTTTCTCGGTCTCGTGGCAGTGGACTGGGCGAACAAGGCAATAAATGGTACGAACAAGCTTTGCACGAGGGTCAAGTCGAGCTTTCGTGGGCTCAGTGGGAGGAGTCAGAGCTGGTGGAGGGTTACTACGGGAGCAAGCGCGCGTTTCCCCCCGTGCACGTACACCTCCTCCCTTCTTTCATACCCCTTTCCATCCTTTCCCGGCATTACTTCCCTCCCGACTCCAGGCGATGGCCATCACCACGCGAATCCAGTCTCTGTGACATTCGTGGACGATATCGACGGACCTTCCACGACGGTGATAGAAGAGAGCAAGGGAAGTCATGGTGCCCGCCATTGAGGGGAAGGAGGGAGGGAGGGAGGGAGGGAGGAAGGGAGGGAGGGAGGGAGCCCCTCCATCCCT